TTTTTTCTTGCAAAAGGTAATACTCAAATTCAATCGGAAAGTCTCTGTGGTCAATTTTGAAGCACGATAAGCACAAGCTTCTTTGAATAGTACACACAACCTTTCTTTAACACGTCAGACTGCAATTGACCCCTTGTTAAAAAAAATAAATAAATAAATAAAAGAAGAAGAAGGTTGAACCCCAACCTTGAGCGCCTCTATCGCCACGTTCCTAGATCTTTGTGAGGGAGGTAAATCGCGGGATATGTCTCAGAGACCATAGAACAAGAGCTGCATGTACATTGCGCCTACAAGAAGTCCAATTTCATATCTCAGGAATCGAACTCCTATATTGCGGCTGCCAGCAAGGCAAGAGATAACCTCACTTCTGTCCTTTGCACCACTGGACTATGCCCCGAGGGCAGCAATTGACCCCTTGTTTGATCCTCAGTGTGAGGGAGATATTACATTTTAAATAGTGAACTGATGAAAAATGTGTGACTAAAAATTAAAGAAAAATTTTAAATTTGCTTATAATATTATTTTATTAAAAAATATATATAATTGGAAATGAGTTTAAAAAAAATAAATTTTTAAAAGAATGAAAAATCAAACAAGAGTTGTGATACCCGCACCGAACACTCACATACACTGGGCCAGCAAGTGAGTTTTTTTTTTTAAGACAAGTGGATCATGTATGGGACCTATTGTTAGTGAGTCATTTTCCATCAAACAAGGGCTCAATAGCCTGTTCCCACGTGCGAAAAGAATTCAATTGTGTGGTCGTGACAGTATAAGAAGATAAGGGTTGCGTCATCTGGGCCCACTGAACATGCTTTTTCCAGTGCTGCGCGTCCACTACACGTTCCAGGAATACATGTCGGCCTTACTTCCACATATTTGTTACAATACGTTATCCGATTTCTCACGTTTTCCTCTCGTCAATATAAAGCAAGAAAAGTTTGCATCTGGGGTCCCCAAATATTGATAATATAATCCAAGTGTTTAGAATTGAGTAAAGAGTGAAAATTACGTTCGCTACTTGTTTGGTAGGGATTTTGATAATTGAATTTTTTATCTTTAAAGATAAAGTGAGTTTTATCTGTGATAGAATAATTCAAAAATAACATCTGAAATAATGAAATAACGATAAAAAAAATTGATTTTAATTGACTCAAAAACTATACCAAACAAACTCTCAATTATACATCTCTTAGAGCAAATTAGATGAAGAGGGACTCTTTCCATGGAATCGAATCTGTCGCAAAAACTTTTATTATCCATCAATAAATATATATTTTGCATAAAATTATTACCTTTATTTAAAAAAAATACGTTTGAATTTTATTTTTTTGTTTTATTAAAAATTATTTTGAGGATCAAACATTAAATTATGGACTTGTTTGGTAATAATTATGAAAATTAATTTTTTGGATCTTTAGAAAAAAAAGTGAATTTCATTTGTGGGAGAAAAAGTCAAAAATGACGATTAACTTAAAAAAGTTAGATCAAATAATTAATTTTTTAAAATAAAAAATCAGAATTAAACATGCACTATATGTCTATATCTACTTATCTCTAGTCATTCCTTAAAATTATAGCAAAAGAAAATCAAACCTGACGGAGGCAAACTAGAGTGGAAACTTAAAAAAATAAAATGAATAGAATTCCTATAAATAGTACCCTAACCAGCAGCTCTTTAATTCCAATTTCATTTTCATCTCCATTACGGATTTACCACTCGAAATTCGAGAAGTAAAATTTCCAGAGTTTGATAAAAAGTAGATAAAGTGCAAATACTTTGTGCAAACTTAACAGAATTCCCAGAATTCTTGGAGCAATTTCATATTTTCTTGATCTTCAAACAGAAGGGGATTAAAATGATGAGAACGCAATCACGAGGTCAACATGACCATCAATCCAACATATTCTACGAGCTATCTTCTTTGATTTTGAGAATTATTCGGTCGCCGTCAATGCTATCAGATTTATCCGATCAATCTCCCGCGGTGCACCGCCGTCCCACACCAAGAAGGGCGCCGTCGATGCAGCAGATTACGCCGGCTGGTTTTGTGTCGTTACTTCTGGGGATTTCTTTGGCTTTGATGCTGTGTGGATCAGTGACTTTTTTTATTGGGTTCATTTTGATGCCTTGGGTTCTTGGATTGGTTGTGGTTCTGTACTTTGTTGGGGTGGTCTCAAGCCTCTCAATGATCGGTCGAGCCATTTTGTGCCATGGGTCTGCTTCTCCTTCGGCAAAAAAATGATCCTTGTAAGAATTATTTTCAATAATCTTGCCTTTTCTGTTAATTGGATCTTACTTCAAGAAG